CTTTTGCTGACTGTTTAAACTAGTCAATAAAATAAACCAGGGATTTCCGTGGAGAAGGCAACAAACTGGACATGAAGCCATAACTTAGTCTCTTATGTACTGTAGATGCTTAATCCATGCTAGTGTTACATAATAGAGAGACAAACTTGTAAATTTCTTGATTTTCTTCCAACATATGTAAGCACAACAGGGAAAACGCAAAGCCATTTTTTTTCTGCTATGCAACAGGTAGTCATAATACGGAAGCTCAAATCAAACATCCGAGATATCGTTTTTTTAAACCGAAGCCATTTGCTGCAGGTGTCTATCTAAGGGCCTTTGGCAAGCCTTTTTTTTTTTTTTTTTTTTACTGTTTGGCTTTTGGCTAATCTTATTTCTTTGTTGATTCTTTTTATTTTTACTTTTTTTTTGCACTTTTTCAGTTATACTTCAAAATGTCATGAAGGTCCTGAGTTACACTGCAGCGTTTTCTCTTGTAGATGTTATAGACAACGGGTTGAGACCAATTGAGTTTTACCTGGCTGGGACGTGAAACAAGGAAGGCTGAATTCATCTCATTAGTTTAAAGAAGATGCTCGTTTTGGACGTTTGCTTTGGTTAAAATCATCTTGAGTTAAACTTTTGCAGACTGAGCCTTTCGTACCAAAAAGAAACAAACATGGCTGTACGTCTGCGCCTCTTTTTCTGTTTTGCTTGCTGTGCCATTTGCCAGCATGAATATGTTGAACAGAAATATGATGCGGGGCTTTTAGAAGTGAGAAAATAATTTTTATGAGAAAACCACTGAAAAACAGGACTAATTGCACTGGAATAACTGTTGACGACTTGAATCTTGAGCTGTTGGTTTTATTCCAGTCTGTGTCGCTGGTTTATGCTGGAAACCCTATATTTTCTCAGGTGCACATGTAAAAAAATAAAATAAAATAAAATAAAAAATCTATGTTTGAACTCCATGGCTCAGATGCGCCACACAAACACACTCACACCCGAGTCGATGCAATGTGACGGCTGTTGTTGTGTAACCAAGCCCAGTGACTCATGAAAGGAAGGAATGCGGCGCAGTGATGGGTTGAGGAGGAGGAAGAAGAGGAGGCCTGCCTGGGGAAGGTCTAGCAGAGACAGTCAGCTATGTTCCCAAAGTCATCTGGGGGAGAGATGTAGAGGAAGAGAAAGATGCTGAACGTTTGGTTTTGGGTCATGCCTCAACTGCGAGCGCTTGTCTGGACACTGAACCGCAAGTGAAGCGCAAATACATCTAAGCTTTGATGCAGCCATGACCGTGGTCAGACGAACCAGATGGTAGCCTAACCACATACAAATGTGAATCCATGAGAGTCAGTTACTCAGTGGAACAGGATGCAGATTTATAGGAAAAGCCTACTGAAATAAAATAAAATGAACTCCTCATAAAGAACTGTGCCTCAGCTTGCTTTCAACTGTACTCCCTTAAGAATCATTCACAATATGTGCCAAGTACAAAATTATACCTTGTTTGATTTCGTCTGCCTGTGTTTTTATATATATATTTGTATGTGTGTGTGTGTGCGTGTGTTTTGTGGATTTGTTTATATTGACTTTCCTCTTGGCCCAGGAGCCATTTGTTTTTCAGCAATGCGTAGGCAGTTTTGCTGGGATGGAAGTGCATGATATTTGCCTAGTACACATGCGCGCACACGTCCACATTTGCAGTCGTACATGCATAGATTCAGGCTGTGCCTCCGTGCCCGTGTTATCATCCAAAGAGGCAAACAGCCAGCCCCTGATTTAATAAGCTGCCTGGGGAGTAACAGAGAGGTGGGAAAGTACTATCAGCTGATAACTGTCCTCCCTGCAAGCCCATCTTTTTCCTCTTATAGCCTTGCCAAGAGAAAGCTTGGCTTTTCCTTGTGTTTTGTGTGAATGCGCATGCCGTGTGTGGGAGCGATCCCCTGCTGCCGGCTCCAGCCCACGTGTCTGTGGGCTGGAGCCGTGCTGGGCTGCCTCATTCTGGGTGTCAGACAGACAGCAGAGGAGAGCCCGCATATGGCGAAGGCAGGCCTGATCTCCAAGCTAAGGAGCATATGCACAGTCCCACACCCACTAATCGTGCACACAAAACGCGCGTCTGGCGTCATAGATGGCACTTCTGCCAAGCAGGAGGAATCCACGGCCCAGAGTACTGACAGAATCCCCGTCCCCGTTGTCCTCTCTCTTCTGCACTTCACATGGCCCACATAACACAACGATCACTGTTCACAAACTTGACAGCAACTCCAAAAGAGGCATCTCCAAAGTGCCGCAACAAACGGGAACAAAAGTATACCACAAAATTTAACAGAGCAACTGCTGCGCTGTGTTTTGACATTGTATTGCTTGCAATGGTTTTGAAAGAATGGGCATGCCGTCTCTGTCAACTCTTTGTATGTCAAACAGGCGAATGTTTCTAAGTTGTTTGAATTTTAACAAATTCAAATACGAGTTTGATGGATGCTGTCACCACGGTGACATTTGAACATTTTACTTCCTGCTGAAAGTTTAGAATACTCCCAGAAAAGATAGACACTGAAAAAAACAATTATTGGATTCCAATAATTGTTTTGTTTTTTTTCCAATAATTTTTGAGTCTATTTGAGTCTCAATTATTTTGAGTCTAATTCACATTATAAGAGTTTTATTATAACAATGACCGGATAGCACTTCCTATGATGTGTTCACTGATCCAAAAAGATCTGATTTTTAAAGTTTCTGACCATCTGTTCTGCTGTCAAAAGTTGTGGTCAGTTCTAGTCGAGGTGGAAAGCAGCTAATTTCTCAGTGCGCTTCTCATATTTAATGCATGACGTTCATAAGTCAATATCTGATTGTTCCTCTGGATCTGCGTTTTACTCTCAGATAAAATACGAAAGTTGTTTACTATTGATGACTTTCATGAAGTGTTAAAGTCTTACCTAATTTAGTTGTATTTTTTAGCATCATAAAAGTTTGGTTTTGAACATGTTTCACATTACTCAAACTTGGATTCTAAAAATTTAAATGTAATTCTCACTTAAAAAAAAAAATATTATAAACTTGTTTTTCCAAGTTGATGTTTCCACAGTTTATAATCAACTAATTCTCTTTCTTTTAGAAGAAGATGGATGCCACAATTTGGTGTGAACAGCAGGAAAGCTTTCAGGAAAGAGCTTCTCAGATGATTGGAAGCTGTTGCACCAATGCACCGTGCAGTTTTAGAAAAGAAACATTTCTTGCATCCCACCCCTGACTGTGCCACAATTTCCATCATGAGCCGATAAAAGTTCAGCCGTAGTGTACCAGTAAAGTTGTTTTTTAGATGGGAGGAAAGCGACAAAATGAAAGCAAGTGTTTCCTGGACGCTTTTAGACAATCACACTTAGTGGCAGGCAAAATACTCAAATGCAAAAATGCAGAAAATAAGATATAACCTATCCTAAAAGTACTCCAGAATGTATAATGACCCAGAATCAGAACAGGGATGATTTATGTTTTTACTAGAGTTTTTTGAGGAATCTAAATAGATTTCAGAAGATCAAAGTGAGTAAGACAGCAGCGTTCTGCAAGAAGCAAGAGCAAAACCGGCTCTAAACAACTTTAACTTGCCGTTCGGAGAGTTAAACATTGGTTAAACCTGACGATGTACCAGCAATTACAAAAATAATTTTACTATAATTCCAAGCTCAGAAGGGCCTGTTTTCATCTCATATTAAAACTATTCTCTTTGAAGGTGCATCAGTTACAGTTCAGAAGCCGGTGATTATGTGAAATCTGTGGTTTTTGCTTTGCTTTTGTTTGCTATTAGGGCAACAGTGCAGCCTTGGCTCTTGTGTTCCACAGGAGCCGAATAACAGGCATGCTTTGGGGTGGCCACAGTGACCCGCAGCCGACACCAATGATTGATCCCGGTGCAGGAATAAGTGCCTGCGAGCAGCTGAGCGCACCAGTCCACTGAAACGCAGCCAGGCGGAAAATTAGAAATCTCTTCATCCCTGGTCCATTTGAAATCCGATATCTCTCGTCTTCCTCTCACGCAGTCACCTTTCCTTGGCCAATATATCTGCTGTTAAATGATGTGTTTATGTGCACGCGCCGAACGGGCTGGGGATTGTTTTATCTTTGAGAGTTAAGAATGTGCATATGCCCAGTAAAACTTTCCATTCCTCCAAACACCTCATGGTCTACATTTAAAATGAAATGCATTTCTACATGCCAGCTTACAGTTGAGTGAGTTGAATTTGGTGCATCTGGTCTCCTCTGAATGCTGCAAGGCTAAGAAAAACAGCATTTCCCCCCCAACAAAGTTTGCTTGTCTTTACATTTTTCCCCCAATTTCATATTTAAAGTGAATAAGCCCATTTTATTATCAGATAAAGATCACCAAGGTGATTTTTTTTTTTATTACATTTTCAATTCTTCTTAGTTAGAGAAACTCTTCAAACCTAACAACTAATTGCTACATCCTGCTTTGCAGAGTCATTTTAATTTGGGCACATTTTAAATGTTTTTTAAAGTTCAGAACAATTTCCAAAAAGTTTTATAAGATGTTTTTTGTTGTTGTTGTTTTTTTCCCCCTGTAAATGGTCAGCAGTCGTTTGCTTCTTAAATTCTCCCATAGATTAAAGATATGAACGTTTCATTTTGTCCAACATGGTTCTGGTGGCTCTCCAGGTCTGGCAGTGATCAGAAAATCAAAGTAAAAAAAATATATGGTTAATAGCTGTTCATACATATATGATTTACCAAAGGCAGCAGGTTACTTTTTCACATCGGCTCAGGTTTTTCCATTTACAAGTGAAATCATAATTTGCTTGCTTCTCTTTCTGATATTAAAATTAGTTTCAATTATCTAAAACGTTTACTAAATGTGCCAAAAAAAAAAAAGTTAAACAAGAATATATTTGGAGGGCAAATATTTTAGTAAAATACATAACTTGCAAATAGATATTTCCTCTCTAATGTATTGTAGCTCCTGAACCTTCACTGTTGATCTGGTTGTATTTCTCCAGGTACGTCTGCCCAGGGCAACCCCCTCCTGGCCTCTCTCCCGGTGCCGGGGCGGCCTCTGCAGCCTCAGCTCGACCTCAAACACCTCCTACCCTTCAGACTCAATGGATCCTCACCCCTTAGCCTCTTTCCCAACTTTAATACGGTGAGTCTCGTATCACAAAAACTGAAACTGTGAGCTTAGAATAGAAAAATAAGTTAACAAATTCAGCCAAATTAAAGCTCCTCAGCTGAGCTTAAACGTGTTAATGAGTGAATGAACGCAACACTTAATTTTGTCCATCATATTATGATCTGTCTATTTTGTAAGCGGGCCTTTTGTTTAGGATATGATCTTCATTCAAGCGTATCTGCTGTGAAAACTGCTGTTGTCATGACGCCGTCTCCATCCACAGACGGGACCCTTGCCACCTGAACCGTCGGCAGCAAACCTCTTGGTTTTCATGCACCTCAGCGTGACGCTTACCTTGCCTCTGTGACTGGAATTAAAAGCTTGTGTCTTTGATCCTTTCTCTGCGCTCTATGCCCATTGTCATTTTGTGTGTGCATGCGTGCAGGCACTCCAGAAGTCTTTTGATCCTACTTTAACACCCTTGTTGTGTGTTGGGTTCACTGCTTTCATTGCACTTGAGAAAAGAAAAAAAAAAAAAAACTTCAGCTCTGTGGTCTATAAATGGAGGATAAGCTGCAGCTTTTACACTCCAGTATGTGTCTTTTTGGAGACTGGGAGGATGCAGACATATGGCTCGTTCTTTACAGCGGAGGACGTGTGGGAGGGGGGGTGGATGAGACAGATGTTTGCTGCGTGGCGTTCATGCATGGGGGGGGGGGGCCCCCAACCTGCTTGTGAAAAGTTCAGTCAATTCGTTTGCACCGTCGCCCACTAACTCCGCCTTGTAGAACAGCGACTACGCGAGTCGCAGAGGCAGCGTGGTAAACACTTATTCCTCTAACACCCTCATGTATTTATATTAGCAGTGCAAGCTGTGGGCTCAAGTCTCCTGTCAGTGTTTTGTCTGTGTTTCACTTTGGGGAAAATTGCTGGTTCTATTTCCAGTCCAATGCACGTGCCCTGTGGTTCTTTTCAAAATAATTTGTTACAGTCACACTTTGCTGCTTTTGCATTTACTTTTGCTCATTCTGCTAGACAAATAACAGTAATTGTTATGGCAACAGCTACTTTAGGAGAAAAACGCAATTTGAAGTGAAGGAAGTACATTGCCTTGGAACAATATTCACACCACTTGAATTTTTTTTCACCTCTTATCCACTCATAGTGACAGTTTTTAGGTGATTGACAAGCATAAAGTGGTGCATGATTGCAAAGTGGATGGAAAATGGTACATGTTTTTAATTTTCTTATGAAAAATTGAACAGTGTGGTATGTATCTCAGACACTTTTTTTACTTTAATACTCTAAATGTGGAGTAACCAAATGATTTCACATCTTACAAAGACATGGCTGTCGACCTAACCTCAGGGAAAGAAGAGCATTACTCAGAAAAATAGCCATAGTGACTTTGGAGGAGCAGCAGACAACTGCGGCCTAGCTGGAGAATCTTTTGACAACACAGTAATTAGTTTTGCACTCCTTTACGGCAGAGTTGCACGAAGAAGACCATTTGTTGAAAGTTTGGTGAAAGAAAAGGCATAAGAAGGCTTTCCCTTCTATCAAATATGGTGGTGGTAGTGTCATACTGTGGGCTTCTTTTGTTTAGCAGGAAAAAGGTTGCTATACAGAGCTATCCTCAAAGAAAACAGTTTGAAGAGGCAAAACTGGAGGCTGACTACGGAACGGCCCATTTTTCAGATTTTTCATGAAGACATGCATTGTCTCCCTTATGTCTCACAATTAGCTACTTTTTTTTATCAATCTTTCTTATGAAATCTAAATAAAAGTCATACAAGTTTTTTGTTTTAGTTTCAAATCACTCAAATGCAAACGATTGCTGTGAAAGTAGATATTCCACGAGAAAAACACAGCGACAAATTAGAGGTGGTATGAAGGAAGTAGGTCAGAGAACGTATGGAAGCCTTTTGACGGTGTAACAATATAACATCATATCACCGTTACTTCAGTGCCAGAACAAGATGATTACCCCTGTTAAGCACGGCCTGGCAGTGCAGCTGCAGCATTAATCACAGCATCCATTCAGCTTGGAGTCCCAAGTTCTTTTAGTCCTGATAAGGCATCCGCTGCAGCCTCCATTTCCAGAGGGGAAGATGAATGCACCTGTCTTCAAACCCAAATAGTCTCCAGTTACCCTGGTGTCCCTTCTTATACAGTGCCTTCACATCTCTGTCTGCTTCTTTCTCTCAACCTTTACCGAAACCTCAGCACGGACTGAGCCGCCTGGCGCAGGACAAGTCCTGTCTGCGCCTGAATGGCAGGGGAGAGTGAAGCACTGGGACAAAAGAGGCATTTATAGCCGTCGGTTCAGGATGGCTGCAGACAGACAATGGACACATTCTTCAGTTCCTAAAACAAATATCTGTGAGTGCAGCCTGCCCTGAAGAGCTGGACAGAGGGCAGCAGGACTGGGAGAGCTACATTTCAGTGGTTGTGCTGTAGCTGGCGAGGAGAAAAGCAAAAGTTTACTCCCAGAGGTAGCTTTGAGTCATACAACACAGACCAAAATAGAGCAGCTAAATAGTCTACCCTGGGGGAGACACACCACCAGCACGGAGGTATCTTTGTCAGGTGTGTTGATAGTGCCTCTCACACCTGGCCCTGAGGAATCCGTGGTAAACCGACTCCGTTCTTTACGAGGTAGCAGCTGCTTCGAACACAACGCAGCTTTGGAAGGATCTGAGGCAGCATCCGAGTCAATGCTATCAATATAGCAACACTCCTTGATCTCTGGGCAGCTGGGGCTGACAGCGGTGTCACCACGTCGGGTTCCGAGGACGTGTCGGTGCAACTAAAAGTGAGAACAACCCACTCCTCGGCTATCCTCTCATGCAAGCCAAGGAACGGACGGGGTCAGGCCCTGTGCCAGCTGAGGATAAGATCAAGGATGACTGTGAAATTTTATACCCGTCTGAAGGGTGTCGTGATGGAATCAGCTGTCATTCTGGACTGTAGAGCCTTTAATGAAGCCTTTTGCTTTGTTTGCTGTTCATAATATACCACGAGGGACTTTCTACTGTCTGTTCACCGGATGTTAAATCTATATTAGTCTGTTTAAGTGATTGATAATGACGTAAATAGACATATTTATGTGATTGGGGTAAATTCTTCTATGAATTACTTTGTCTTTTTGCAGATAAGGAGCAGTTTCACAAATTTGGCTCGTTAACATTCAGCATTTGATCCCTTAAATGAAAAAAATGTGAGACGACACAACTCCTTGTTTTGTCTCACGTGAAAGAAAGTCATGCAGCTACAGACAGCTTTCGTGTAAACAAAATGATACAATAATAACCTGGAAGGTCACAAACGTGTGGTTTTGAGAAATTATTTATTATTTTGAGGAAGACCCTTTATTTTGGCTGAACTGAAGGTTTATTATGGCTAAATCACAATATTTAGCTAACCAGATAAAATGGTAATGTTACAAAAATACTCCCAAATTACTGATTAAAATTTATTGCATAATCCACAAGGTTTCAGGTGTGAACACATATTACCTAATCAGTGCCACTAATTGTTTTGTCAATAAATTCTGAGTTTCTAGATCAATAAATATACAACGATTAAAGCCTGGATGTAGAACTTTTTGAAACCTCGTGTTTAGCTTGCACATACTTGTTGTTTTCATGACATTTTTTAATATGGAGCAATCTTAAACAAACCTTAAATTGAAAGCTATTGTTGTAGTGGGAAGAGATATAACATTGCATTGTACTAAAAATATCCAGGTAAAATACAACACATCTCTTTCTAAGGATTTGTAATCAAAATTCAGCCACCGGTAACAATGCTTTTTTTGTGTGTGTGTGGCTGAAAAATGCGTTCAATATCAAGAAAAGCCCATCATGCAGAGATACTGAGGTATTCAGCTCATATCAAATAGCGGCAGCATGCTGATTAACAAAGAAAAGTTGTTATTTGTTCCAGATTTATGCCTTAAATCCTACTCAGCTGTCACCAAGGGAACATCTCGGCATGATTCTTTGTTTCATGCCTGTTTTTTCATGATGATGGGACGTGATGTGAGGATCTTTTTCTCTTCATGCACTTTGGCTGCATGCAGGGTAACCCCAAGGGAGAGATATCTTTTGATCCTAACGTTACTTTATGGCTGACGTTCAGCGCATTCCAGGAGTTGCACTGTGTTGGCTTTCTGCGATCTGAAAGCATATTTTGAAAGAATATGAACCTGTCAGATGAATTTGATTCACTCATTAGTTAAAAATTGCCACGTCAGAAGTTTTAAGACCGAGTCAAAATTGTTCAGCACAAACCTACAAAATCTGAGTTTCAGACGACTGAAGCAAAAAGCCGAAACTGGTCAGTGCAGACACAGAGGGAGTTTTAAACTTCCTTAATCAGCTGGAAGCAACTGAGAAAGTGGAAAGTGAGGAATTTGCATTTCTGCTCTGCTAAGCAAGCATACATTTAAAATGAAACATAACTTGACTTGAAAATAATAAAGAACAAAGGACCAGCAGTCTTAGCTTGATTTTTTTTTTTTTTTTTTTTTTTGGTCTCCGTTATCGAAAATAATCTCATTAGACGTCAGACCACAAAAACTTTGTGTGAATGGAGTTGTTTTGCAATTATTAAGAACTGAGATACCTGCAACAATAAATTAAGTGCATAACTTCCAGTCATTAGGAGGCACGTATGACGCAATCCCAGATGTCTGCGTTATGTGAAGGCACAAGCAGCAGAAGGGGGAAGTGTTTTCACCTGTTCAACAGCAGCAACATTTTTATATATAACTCCCAGTTGAGTCTTGTAAAGTTATAACTTTCAGAAAGTGATAATTGCACCAGAGATTATCATCCAACAAATTTAGATGAACAGTTTTACATGTGCAGCCCTTTAACACACAGTGCAAATCTGCAAATAAGAAGGCCAACTTGTTGTGTTTAAAAGTGTTGACTGCAGTAATGTTCTAAATCACTAAAGGCTTAATTCAGTAATAATGCATCGCACTTTAATCCAGACACTCTAAGCCAAATTTCAAACTATGTCCAAAGTTTGACTTGAGATCTGACCACAACTCTGGAATGGAGGGCAAATGTTCCCATCAGCACCAGACAACCTGACTGCACCCATCTATTGGTATTGGCATTTATTGGTACATCAATTGATGTCGACAAAAGATTTACAATGATTCACAACACTCTTGTAAAAGACATTTTTAATCTCAATGAGATTTTTTTTTTATTTCCTCGTTAGATGAATGTTGAATATTCAGACTTGTTTGTTCACTTTTATGAAATATTGGTTGTTTAGTTATTCTTTTTATCAGGAAAAGGGGAGAATAAAATCACTGTTAGTAGTGTTAAGTGCAGACTATTATATTGCACTGTTTCATTGTGTCATTATCCAATATCTTCACTGATTTCACATCATGACAAAAAGCCTCTAGAAAAAAGAACTATTGTAAAATGAATTAACTTTGTGGTCATTTTTACTGAAGTGCTAGTATTATTTATTTAGTCCTCCTTAGAGCAAAATTAATGAATACTTTATGCAGTCTATTTACTGCATGCATATTTAATGAGTATTTGCAATATTTGCTTTTGCAGAGATTGATTTTGCATCGTCTGCCACTGTGTTTTAGACTCTGCAAAAGTGTAGCCTCTTGGCTTGACAGGAACATGCTGCTTGTGTTGATTTTTGCTCTCTGTGTCTCAGATGGACCCTGTCCAGAAGGCAGTGATTAACCACACGTTTGGGGTCCCTCAGCCCCTCAAGAAGAAACAGATCATCTCCTGCAACATCTGCCACCTGCGCTTCAACTCAACGGTAAGAAAAGATTTGTTGTTGTTTTTTTTTTCTGTAAGAGGAAGATGGGGGAAGTGTAGCAATAAAAGGAAGAAAGAGACATTATGCTTTTTTGACTGCATAATGTGCACTGACTGCATCGCCCTGAGTAAATAATGGGTCTACCTCAAGAGAAAATTGCACTTTGGAATTGTAGTATTTTTCTTCAATGTTTGTTTTCACTGGAAAAAGAATGTTTCTATGATATGCCAAGGAATCATGGAAAACACTAAGAACATCTAAGGAGTCATTGCTGCAATGTAAACATTACTGTTTTGTGTTGTTGTTTTTCTAATGAAACTTTGCAAAGGTGCAAAAAAAGTTGTGCTGCCATATTCTTTAAAAAAAGAAGCTTTGTTCTCCAACATTTGCAAATATGCTTTGCTCCTTTAATACTGTAATTGTCCAATAATAATCCTTAAACCTAACCCTAAATTCTGTGAGCACTGAACTGCCTGACATTCAGCTGAATTTTGTTGGATGTCCACTCCTTGGAAGTCGGGGAACTATATCAGATATGGTAGGATTTTACTATTTGGTATAATCTTTCTCACTGTAAAATAATGGAATTCAGCTAAACTGGAAATTTAGTTCTCCAACGTTGTTGCTGACGTTTTCTCTTTTCCATTATAGAACAATGTAACCCGGAACTCCAGACTAACAAAATTCTTTCTTTGACAGACGTGTTCAAATCAGTCAAGTACATTTTATTTGCGTCATCTGGCTGCTACTTTCCATTCTTAATTTCAAGCATTTTCTTGGAGTAAATCAGACGTTGTTTTCTGTTTCAAACTGAATTGTGGTTTGCTGGAGCCGTGATTAGGTCAAAAAGGCAAAAAGCAATATTCAATCAGCTGAACTGGGTTCTTATTTTGTTCATTTAAATGAGATGAACACATATGAGGTGAAAAATTCCACTAAATACCTTTAATTTTGTGGTTGTTGTGTCAAAATGTGAAAAAATGGGGGATGGATACGTTTGCAGTGCAAGTTTATTTACATCAGTGCTCATTGCTTTGCTTGCTCTTTTTTTTTTTTTTTTTTGAAAGCCTTTTCTTGAGGATATATTTCTCTAATGACCACTTCCTTTCTCTTGTGTGTTTTTGGTGTCTAATATGCATGTGGGACCTGATTGAAATATGGGTTCAAGATACTGATGATCTTGCTCTCTCTATACATCTATATCTTTTATTCTTCTATATAAAATCTGGCGTCTCTCTGATTAACCAAAGCAGCTGGCAGTACAGTTTAACTTCTGTGTCTATTTTTCACTAGAGCCTGGACTCGGAGGCTCTTTAAGTGAGTGGAATGGAGCTAGCTTTTCACCCACTCAGCGTGTATATATGTCCACGCGATGTGTACAGCCCCCCCACCCACGTTTCCTTTCATCCCAGGGATTTCTTGATCACTGGACGATCTGGAATCCTTTTGATGAGCAGCACATCCTCTTGTAGTTTCTCTTGACTGAGCCGCAGCTCATTTCACGCCTTGTCCTTCTGCCTCCTTTGAGACCCAATTGGATGGCTGCCGGTGAGGAAGCTGAACTATTCACAACAGGCTGTGGAGTCGGATGACATGCTTATGTATTTTTTTTGTCTGAGTTGGTTTCTCTGAGCTAATGCTACCTGAGCAGCAATCAGTCGTGTTGGTGACTCTCAGGTGATCAGATTTACTGCCGTTTTGCTCCGAGTGAGAAAAGTCTTGATGAATTTGCCTGTCTGTTATGTTTTTCCTGGATGTTTTCATTTGATCACAGAATGTCTCCTCTTTCTTTTTTAGTTGCTGCAGAAATGGTAAACCGCTGCCAATATGATACTACCCAGAGCTCAAAATATGCAAAACAGAACTCATGCTAAATCCACTTTCCTTCCTACATTCCTCACTCTGAATCCTTAGCAGTGGGGAAAATGCTCACCTTGTTTGGCTTTTCGTGTTGTTTGTGGTGATTTTAAAGATTTACTCCCAAGCATGTAGCTCTTTAAGCCCAAAATGATGTTTTGTTCACACCGGCGGCTGATGAGCGCTGATCCCCAGAGGTTGTCTTAGCCTTTAATGAGTGATCTGTGCATTGATTTCTTTGCTATTTTTATGTGCCATTGCTTTGCGTAACAACGTGGCTTTTGTTCTCCGACTGAACAGGGTCACGGGAGTGATGAAAATGGAAACGTAAATTGCCGTCCACTCGAAAGGAAATTTGCGTGCTTTTATTGCTGCAGTGTAGTCAGTCAGGATGTGTTTTGAGTCTGATTTGTGTTTGTGTGCTTATGAGAGCCTTAAATGTGTGTAACATTAGTATGTATTGCCAAGTGTGTCTGGGTTCTGCAGAGGCTGACTCTCACAGTGCACATTAATAGGGTAGTTGTAGAGATGGAATCCTCTCTCTTGTTGCATATTACACATGCAATTATACCTCTGGCCTCCCAGTGTGCCAGCTCTGTTATCAGGTGGAAACAGACTCTCCTTCTTGCAGCCTCCGGATGCCTGTGACAGAGAATTTTTGGGCAAGTGCATTTGAACATTTCTTGCACACGGGCTCTGGTCTTTGCAGCAGATATGGCAGTTGGTCCTCTATGCTTCTTTCCGCTAACATGTCTTTTTCTTCTTTTCCATTTGCCCACAGAACCAAGCAGAGGCCCACTATAAAGGCCACAAACATGCCCGGAAACTCAAAGCCATGGAGGCCCAGAAGAACAGGCAGCGACGAGGTGGAGATACCTCAACTACAGGGAAGGAGCGAGAGCGGGACCGAGAACGAGACCGAAACAAGACGACCCCTTCTGATGCAGCTCTCCCAGCACCTATAGATACAAGCTTAGTAAAAGAAACAAGTAGGTGCACATATAGAAAGTGAGAAAGTCAACCCTGAGACTGGAATTCATTTCTCTGCCATCTTCACATTGTGAATGAACTCTAACACATTTTCTTCCCTTATTTTATTTTAAACCCATCTGGTAGCCCTCAAATTAGAGACAGACTTTTAAAATACATTTTGTGTACTTTATCTTTTATCATTCCTACTTCAAAGCACTTTTTCAAAGCTTATGATGTCTGGGCTGCTCTTTAATTTGTAATTGGTAGGACACCGAAAATGAGAAGCAACTGCTAAAGCACAACTCCTTCTGTTTTTCTGTATCAATCGAAGCTAAAATGAAATTATTTTATAGCTTTAGTATACCTGCTGAAATACAGTATATGGATATAAAAACATTTAAAAAGAAAAACAGAATGTTAAGTCAAAAATTACTCTGCAACTACAAGCTTTTCTAGGTTTCCTCTAATTGTTGATAATGCCTCGCTTGAAGTTCCAAAGCATTAGAAAAATCTTTCTGGCCGTTTCCGGACTGAAAGTTGTCAATGACTTTATTTTCTTGTCCATTCTTGATTTTATTGTTTTGTTTTTGTCTAGATCGGGGTCTGGTATATTTCTCTTTGGTGCAATTCAAAGAGAAATACACCAGACATATAGCCAGACAGGTTCCATTTGAGTGATTTCTTGACTCTACAGGTCTTTCGATGATCCAGCCCTGGTGTGTCTAACGAAACTGAACGCAAACATTGTGGCTCAGTTTCTGATGATCTAATTAAGGGAGCAATTACTCTGGTTTATTGTCCAATATTAAAAGTAGTTACAGTTATAATAGTGATGAATGGTGACATACAATCAGCTGTCAGTCTGTAAATTAAGCTGAAAGACTTCATCACTTCAACTTAAAAAATGTTAACAGGTGAAGTGACGGTAGCAGAAATGTTTGGCTAAAAGCTGCTATGAAACTACTGTCACTCTAAGGAAACTACACAAAAGATTTTGGCATGGAGTTACCAAAAATCAGCAAGACCTTAGTTTTTTTTTAGATATTATGGGATTGACACCTATTTTCCAGATTCCTAATAGTTAGTTGCCCTAGTTAGCCTTTCAAAGTCTCTCGTCAGAAGTTTAGCTGCAACGTTATTTAAATGACGGCGTTAGGTGCAGACATCAAACTTTGGATTTGACTGCATTTTTTTTTTTTTTAGTTATTCTGTTTGAAGATTTGTATGAAAAGCATTGAAGGCCATGCTTAATTAAGTTCAATTGGATGAGGATGGGATATGTAGAAGTAAATTAACAAACTTTCATTCTAAGTAAAGCACTTATGAGTTCACTGCTCTCAGCCTTGTGTCTAACGTTAGGTTCCAAAGTTTTCAGACTGCAAGAACGGTCCGAGATGTTGCGTAAACAACCAGGCTTGCTGAGATCGATTGGACTCTCTCTGTTCTTTGTTACCCCGTTTTTTTTTTTTTCTTGATTTCAATTTCTTGACTCCCCATTACTCTCTTCTGCTCCCACCCTATTGAAGTTGGAATGAGAGGATGGTGACAGGACCCGAATCGGTGTGTTTGAGCACAATAACGGCACAAAGTGCTGAATGAGCCATGACGGAGCAGAGCGGTGCAGAGGGGTTTCGTTTTTAATGGGCTGTCAAAAAAAAAAAAAAAAAAAACTAAAGCTGAACAATATCAAAGACACTCATCTACTCCTACAAAAAAAAGTTCAGCTGTTCATACTTTAGTGGTGCCAATATAGATATCTAGTGCTTTACAAAAGGAAATGTGGTTCTTTTTTGTTTTCAACAAGAAAAATAAATGTAAACCTTTCCACTGCAGACAGCTGCACCTTGACTTCTAAGAACCTGAATTGTTTCTTTGGCATTTTGACTGCTACGTAAACCCCATTAGCTTCTCATATTGCACTTGTCTGGATCCAGACTTTTCATTTATCATTTTGAAGCAAGGGGACTGTGCCAGTGCTATAGCAGTTT